AAATATATTGATAACACTATTTAACCAACCAATTCATTATTCTGTAAACTCAGGAGTCATATGTACACAAGTAAACAAAGTAGAGAACCTGTTAACTTTTCCCTTTTATTAACATCTCATAAATAGTGGCAGAAGCCAGATAAAAATTGTGGGAATAAAATTGCAGTTTTTGTTTGACTTAATGTTTGCAAATTATTGTATAGAAACTTCCCACATACAAACACAATCATTCTTTTGTTTTATCTACATGACTTCATCCTTCAGACTATGTTCAAACTGTCACATCCTTAGCACTTGTTTTGTTTATAAAACAAATATGCTTCTATTTTACAGCAGATCTTCAGATTATTAAGAAGTGAAATTTATTTGGCATTGTCGGCTCTGTATACATACATATCATTATGTATAAAGCATGAATTAATAATAGGATTGTGAACTATTTTTAGTTGATCAATTATATTACTCTAAGAATGAATCAGTGGGTCTATTGATTAAGCTTACTTTGATTTGCAAATCATTACCAGAAGCTAAACTGCATTTTAAAGCCCACAAAAAGTATGAACACAGGACAGTTTAATAAAGTGTAGCTGCTCTTTATTGCTAAAGAACATCCTATCTCCTCACTATCTTCTCTTTCATTTCCTGAAAAAACAGAATTAAAGTTTAATTCTCGCCATGGTTGGTATATCTGTTGATGTCTTTATATCTAAAATTGAGAGTGGATCTTTTTTTCTCCCCTAGAATATCTTCATCATAAATTTTTACTTTGGAGACTTCTGGGTACCAGCACGTCAGTGGCACCTGTGATTCTTCTCTTAGCGAGTTTTATTTGCTTCCAAATCCCACCTGGAAAATATGCTCCCAATGTCAAATATGTATGTGGTAGAAGGAAGAATGAGAAGTCTTTCAGCTGTTTAGAAGACATGTCTAATGTGTCCATGGAGATTCTCAGTCATCCAGGTCATGGTTGTCCCAAAGGTGTTTTTTTCAAGAGGCAACTGGACTTCCTTGCTTTTTTTTTTTTGAAGACGTTTCGCCCCTCTCAGAATGTGACTCGGAGGGGGAGGCTGAACAGCTGACAGGAGTGGGAGTGGCTCTGTTGGCTGTGGAAGAAACTGGGGAAGTGCAAAGTCCAGCTGGGCAGAGTAGGGAAGAGGTAGAACAAGGGAGAAGGAATTTGGAGGAAGACCCAGGCCCACCCCCTCTTCATCCTAGGGCACGCAGGGAGGAATAGAGAAGGGAGCAATGTGAGCTGCATGGCTTATGAGGGAGGAAAGGGCCCCAATTCCCTTCATTAGCTGCAGCTGGAAACACAGTGTATAGAAGAGGAAGCTGCACACAGCAAGTTGTTGGGAGCAAATGTGAATTTATCTTGTATCGTTGTGGCTTATCTGTGCTCCTGGCGTCTTCCCAACTGTGTGAGTTTTGCTCTGCTTTCAAGTCTGAAATTCCTTCTCCTGCCCTGTCAAGTTAATTACTTCAGCTTGGTGTTTGGATTTTTAGTTACAGTTTGTATGTACCTTGTTTTGGACTGAATTTTCTACAGTTAAAAATTGGGAGAGTTTTTTTTTTCTCCAGCTGAAGGTAACCTGGACATCGGGTGCAAAGTTGGAGATAATAAAGGGACTCTTACTGCTTATTTGACTGTGTTGCCTTTGTGCCATGCCCTGGGTCATCACAAGTTGCCTCTTGAAAAAAGCACCTTTGGGACGACGTGTCTAAAGCTTCAGAAATAATTTGGGAGAGGTGGATGTTAGAACTCTTTAAGGCAACCGCATCATCTCCCATGGTCCCCTTCAAAGTGCCTTCATGAATTGCAGACCAAAACTACATTTGCTCTCTGAAATTATCTGTCTGGAAGTGACTCTACAGGCATTATTTATGCCTTTTTACAGAGTGATCGGTTGGAAATCTTGTTCATAAGCAAACCAACATGGTCAAGCTAAGCTATTATGTATGTCCTTGGTTCAGAACCAATTTGACACCATGATTTGAATCCCTGTGCAATCCAGACATAGGACATCCTATCTAGGTCTGCATACAAGTACAGTGAGCTCCACTGAATTCAGTAAGGGCTACTTTAGCATCTATTTCAAACAGGGCTTAAATGTCTTTTAGGGGATCTTTGCTCTACGTGAAATCATATTCAGATAGTCACAAAGGCTCTCAAACGAACCACAGAATTTTATTTTCACTTGTACAGGACTCTGGAAAATATTCCTGACCTGGGAGCACACCTCAATCCCAGCCACAGGCAGAATAATGGATCAGCTGCCAGTGAACCAGAATGCCTCTTTCTTGCTTTGGCATACCCCATTAGAGACCCTAAGTTTGTTGCTGCTGCCCTCAAGGACATTTCCATCAGCAGAATTCTCTAATGAGCTTTTGTGTGTGTGTGTGTGTGTGTGTGTGTGTGTGTGTGTGTTGGGGGTTGGGGGGAGGGGCAAATGGATGGCCAGGTGTACCCTTTGGCTAACAAAAGTACTCTCAGACAGGAAGCTGGAGATAACTTTGCCAAGTTGGAAGAATGCTGACTTGGCTTTTGCTTTGCGGTTCAATTTTCAGCTTCATTTGGATAGTAAGATCGAATTAGGTATCTCCCTGTGTAGGGCTAAATAATAACACAGAAACAATAAATATCTTTTATCCTTTCTCAAACCAGCTATTAATTTTGTACACCTCTCATGTCTAGAATCTTACAAATTTATGAACATAATTACACTCCCATTTTTCATAGAGAGCTATAATGCTATTTTTTAATGGTTTACTATTATATTAATCTTTGATACCCCAATCTACCTGAATCTATTAAAGTTTTAATGTGGTGCTCGGTAGTCTTCCAGCACTTCAACTGTGTAAACTAAGCTTGCAAATTCTGCTAAGTCCCCTCCCTCTCTTATCTCTCTATCTCTACCATCTCTATCTTTATCTCTATCTCTATCTAAAGCTCTCTCTCTATTATCTATCATCTATCTATCTATCTATCTATCTATCTATCTATCTCTCCTTTTTGTCTCTTTTAACACTAAAACTTCCTTTTTATGACCCCATTATCCTTTAATTCAGGGTAGACTTGGAGCAATTGGATGGAGCTGACAGTTTACTGGCTGGATGCCCTTCCTGACACCACACAAAGTTTGCAGCAGATTTCTTTTTCTTTGTAGCCTAGGAGAGAAACAGCTGCTGCTACCTAGGATTGAACTCTCAAGACGAGGGCTTTCACCACTAGGTCACCATGGCCCTCTCTTGTAGCTTCCAATACTAGTAACTCAAAATTATGTTCATATTAGGAAGAAAGTTCCTAGTTCATACTTATTTGGAGATTTATGCTCAGCTATTTGTTTTATCCTGGAATCAGATGATTGTAAAAAAAATTCCACCTCACATAGGCAAGATTCACAAATGTACAGGTAACGTCCCTAGGGATCACTGAATAGTGATTTTTCTACCTAATATTCATTGTGATTGCTTAAAACTTCAAATCCTTCCTAGGAAATTTTCAGAAAACCTAGTATCTCCCTTATCTTTATCCTCAAATAGGATAAAAAAGTCCTTCATCATCATCTTTATTATTCATCATTGTCATCAAAAAAGCACCACAAAGAATGTTCTTTCTGCACCAACTCAGAAAGCTCAAACTGCCCAAAGAGTTGCTGATTCAATTCTACAGAGGAATTATTGAGTCTGTCATCTGCACCCCTATAACCGTCTGGTTTGGCTCTGTGAACAGGACAGACACAGACTTCAATGGATAATTAGAACTGCAGAAAAAAACCATTGCTACCAACCTGTCTTCCATTGAAGACTGTATACTGAACGAGTCAAAAGGGGGGCTGTGAAAATATCTACAGACTCCTCACATCATGGACATAAATTGTTTCAACTTCTACCCTCAAAATGATGCTATAGGGCACTGCACACCAGAACAACTAAACACAAGGACAGCTTTTTTCCTGAATGCCATCACTCTGCTAAACAACTAATTCCCACAACACTGTCAACTTATTTACTAAGACTGTATTACTATTATTCCTCTACTACCAGATTATAATAACACTTCTTAGCGCCTATCTCTTCCCACTTATGACTATAACCGTGTTGCTTGTATCTTTACAATTTATATTGTTTTATTTGTTTCCTAGTATGATTTTACTGCTTATTAGTAACCTATGACTATCACTAAGTGTTGCATCTTGTGATTCTTGATGAACGTATTTTATTTTTTCTTTATGTACACTGAGAGCTTATGCACCAAAGGCAAATTCCTTGTGTGTCTAATCACACTTGGCCAATAAAGAATTCTATTCTATTCTATTCTATTCTATTCTATTCTATTCTATTCTATTCT